CTTCACTCAACGACCAGCAAGATACAGTGCTGGACATCCTATGCCAAACAACTAGCAAGACAGGAACACAACCCCACCCATTAGCAGAGAGGCTGCCGAAAATCACAGTAAGGCCACAGACACCCCAAAACACACCACCAGACGTGGACCTGCCCACCAGAAAGACAAGATCCAGCCTCATCCACCAGAACACAGGCACTAGTCCCCTCCACCAGGAAGCCTACACAACCCACTGAACCAACCTTAGCCACTGGGGACAGACACCAAAAACAACAGGAACTACGAACCTGCAGCCTGCAAAAAGGAGACCCCAAACATGGTAAGATAAGCAAAATGAGAATACAGAAAAACACACCGCAGATGAAGTAGCAAGATTAAAACCAACCAGACCTAACAAATCAAGAGGAAATAGGTAGTCTACCTTAAAAAGAATTCAGAATAATGATAGTAAAGATGATCCAAAATCTTGGAAATAGAATAGACAAAAATGCAAGAGACATTTAAGAAGGACCTAGAAAGAAGAACAAAAGATGAAACAAACAATGATGAACAACACAATAAATGAAGTAAAAAATACTCTAGATGGGATCAATAGCAGAATAACTGAGGCAGAAGAACAGATAAGTGATCTGGAAGATAAAATAGTGGAAATAACTGCTGCAGAGCAGAAGAAAGAAAAAAGAATGAAAAGAACTGAGGACTGTCTCAGAGACCTCTGGGACAACATTAAATGCACCAACATTCGAATTATAGGGGTTCCAGAAGAAGAAGAGAAAAAGAAAGGGACTGAGAAAATATTTGAAGAGATTATAGTTGAAATTTTCCCTAATATGGGAAAGGAAATAGTTAATCAAGTCCAGGAAGCACAGAGAGTCCCATAAAGGATAAATCCAAGGAGAAATATGTCAAGACACATTTAATCAAACTGTCAAAATTTAAATACAAAGAAAACATATTAAAAGCAGCAAGGGAAAAACAACAAATAACACACAAGGGAATCCCCATAAGGTTAACTGCTGATCTTTTAGCAGAAGCTCTGCAAGCCAGAAGGGAGTGGCAGGACATATTTAAAGTGATGAAGGAGAAAAACCTGCAACCAAGATTACTCTACCCAGCAAGGATCTCATTCAGCTTTGATGGAGAAATTAAAACCTTTACAGACAAGCAGAAGCTGAGAGAGTTCAGCACCACCAAACCAGCTTTACAACAACTGCTAAAGGAACTTCTCTAGGCAAGAAACACAACAGAAGGAAAAGACCTACGATAATGAACCCAAAAGAATTAAGAAAATGGGAATAGAAACATACATATTGATAAGTACCTTAAATGTAAATGGACTAAATGCTCCCACCAAAAGACACAGATTTGCTGAATGGATACAAAAACAAGACACATATATTTGCTATCTACAAGAGTCAACTTCAGACCTAGTGAAACATACAGACTGAAAGTAAGGGGATGGAAAAAAATATTTCATGCAAATGGAAACCAAAAGAAAGCTGGAGTAGCAATTCTCATCAGACAAAATAGACTTTCAAATAAACACTATTAGAAAAGACAAAGAAGGACACTACATAATGATGAAGGGATCAATCCAAGAAGAAGATATAACAATTGTAAATATTGATGCACACAACATAGGAGCACCTCAATACATAAGGCAAATACTAACAGCCATAAAAGGGGAAATCAACAGTAACACATTCATAGTAGGGGACTTTAACACCCCACTTTCACCAATAGACAGATCATCCAAAATGAAAATAAATAAGAAGACACAAGTTTTAAATGATACATTAAACAAGATGGCCTTAATTGATATTTATAGGACATTCCATCCCAAAACAACAGAATACACATTTTTCTCAAGTGCTCATGGAACATTCTCCAGGATAGATCATATCTTGGGTCACAAATCAAGCCTTGGTAAATTTAAGAAAATTGAAATTGTATCAATTATCTTTTCTGACAACAACGCTATGAGATGAGATATCAATTACAGGAAAAGATCTGTAATAAATACAAACACATGGAGGCTAAACAATACACTACTTAAAAATGAAGTGTCCACCGAAGAAATCAAAGAGGAAATCAAAAAATACCTAGAAGCAAATGACAATGGAGACACAACGACCCAAAATCTATGGGAGGCAGCAAAAGCAGTTCTAAGAGGGAAGTTTATAGCAATACAATCCTACCTTACAAAACAGGAAACATCTCGGATAAACAACCTAACCTTGCACCTAAAGCAGTTAGAGAAAGAGGAACAAAAAATCCCCAAAGTTAGCAGAGGGAAAGAAATCATAAAAATCAGATGAGAAATAAATGAAAAAGAAATGAAGGAAACAATAGCAAAGATCAATAAAACTAAAATGCTGGTTATTTGAGAAGATAAAAAAAATTGATCAACCATTAGCCAGACTCATCAAGAAAAAAAGGGAGAAGACTCAAATCAATAGAATTAGAAATAAAAAAGGAGAAGTAACAACTGGCACTGCACAAATACAATAGATCATGAGAGATTACTACAAACAACTCTATGCCAATATAATGGACAACCTGGAAGAAATGGACAAATTCTTAGAAAGGCACAACCTGCCAAGACTGAATCAGGAAGACATAGAAAATATGAACAGACCAATCACAAACACTGAAATTGAAACTGTGATTAAAAATCTTCCAACAAACAAAAGCCCAGAACCAGATGGCTTCACAGGCGAATTCTATCAAACATTTAGAGAAGAGCTAACACCTATCTCTCTTAAAGTCTTCCAAAATATAGCAGAGGGAGTAACAGTCTCAAACTCATTCGACAAGGCCACCATCACCTTGATACCAAAACCAGACAAGGATGTCACAAAGAAAGAAAACTACAGGTCAATATCACTGATGAACATACATGCAAAAATCCTCAACAAAATACTAGCAAACAATCCAACAGCACATTAAAAGGATCATACACCATGATCAAGAGGCATTTTTTCCAGCAATGCAAGGATTCTTCAATATACGCAAATCAATCAATGTGATAAACCATATTTACAAATTGAAGGAGAAAAATCATATGATCATCTCAATAGATGCAGAGAAAGCTTTTGACAAAATTCAACACCCACTTATGATAAAAACCCTGCAGAAACTAGGCATAGAAGGAACTTTCCTCAACATAATAAAGGCCATGTATGACAAACCTACTGCCAACATCACCCTCAACGGTGAAAAACTGAAAGCATTTCCACTAAGATCAGGAGCAAGACAAGGTTGTCCACTCTCACAACTCTTATTCAACATAGTTTTGGAAGTTTTAGCCACAGCAATCAGAGAAGAAAAGGAAATAAAAGAAATCCAAATCGGAAAAGAAGAAGTAAAGCTGTCACTGTTTGCAGATGACATGATATTATACATAGAGAATCCTAAAGATGCCACCAGAAAACTACTAGAGCTAATCAATGAATTTGGTAAAGTGGCAGGATACAAAATTAATGCACAGAAATCTCTGGCATTCCTATACACTAATGATGAAAAATCTGAAAGTGAAATCAAGAAAACACTCCCATTTACCATTGCAACCAAAAGAATAAAATATCTAGGAATAAACCTACCTAAGGAGACAAAAGTCCTGTATGCAGAAAATTATAAGACATTGGTGAAAGAAATTCAAGATGATACAAATAGATGGAGAGATATACTATGTTCTTGGGTTGAAAGAATCAACATTGTGAAAATGACTGTACTACCGAAAGCAATCTACAGATTCAATGCAAGCCCTATCAAACTACCACTGGCATTTATCACAGAGCTAGAACAAAAAATTTCACAATTTGTATGGAAACACAAAAGACCCCGAATAGCCAAAACAATCTTGAGAACGAAAAACGGAGCTGGAGGAATCAGGCTCCCTGACCTCAGACTATACTACAAAGCTACAGTAATCAAGACAGTATGGTAGAGAGGCCGGCGTGACGTTGCACCCTCCTGGGGCGTGCCGTGTGTTCTTCCGGGTCCAGACTTTTTCCGGACTCCCCTCCGGCCAGCCGTGGCGCACTGGCCCCCTGCAGGCTGTGTTCACGCCGCCGGCCCCGGTCCTCTCCCGGTGCTCCGACCGAAGCCCGAGCCTCGGCTTCCAGCCCCGCCCGCCCCGGCGGGTGAGCAGACAAGCCTCTCGGGCTGCTTGAGACCAAAGAGTTGCTGTGAGGGAACATGGAACTGAGGTTGCCTGCAGTTGCATAGAGGGACCCAGCGTATGGCTGGATGCTGAGAAACAGTTAGAATGCTCCTGTGAAGAGAAGTGGCTGGCGGATAGTGGGTCATTAATTACCAGGGAGTCATAAATATGTCTACTTGGAATCACATACGGGAAGTTCCAGAACATTCACGCAGCTTTTCAGGTCTTCACCCCCACTGTCAGTTTACACCAGCTGCTTCTCATCACCTAGCCCTGGGGTCCTTCCCATGAAGTTCGGTCCAACAGAGAAGCCAGCACCCAAAGGAAGTCCATGCACACCCTGAGCAGTGGACAAAAGCCGAGACTTGAAGAGAGTGGTATTTTCTCCAGAGACACCGGATAGGAATATAACTTGAATGTCCCACATGTGGTCCACTCATCCACGCTGGCTTTGAACCACACTCATTCCACGCTGAGCTCTTGTTTCCTAAAGTGCATTCTATGGTCTTCCAGTGCAGACATATGGCACGCACTTCTGGCTATTCTACAGAGCCTTCTGGTTCAGGGCTGACTGAATATCTAGTGACAAGGTTGGACAGCACTGCTGGGAATATTTACCAAGATTGGTCCAATGGAAAGTTCTAAAAATCCTCAAAATGTTTTATGTCAAGGTGCCTGAATCCCTTCAAGGACAGAAGTCTCCACTGCATGTGCAGATGTGTTCATAGGCTTGGTCAGCAGGGAGCTGAAAAGGGTACAACGCTCAAGTGTCCTGAAATTACGGGCCTAATTTACCCAAGTCCTCGAAGGCACTAGCTCTAGGTGAAAGGCCTGAAGGCAATGTCTAGCAGCTCTTTGGCTTTTAATTAGAGCCACAGTTGTTCTTGGTGCCACATTTCGTAAAGCAGAATGGAATGCGTGTTTCCCGATTTTTACACACAAATTCTCCACCCACCACGAGCTGTATAAACAGACACACCTTCCTCATCAGCTTGGCATGGGGTGTCTCTCCTTTCCATTCTCTTGCACAATAACTGAGTAAATCAACTTCTGCCTCCACACTGACGTTCCCTGGACCAAATCAAAGATACAAGGTGGTGAATTTTCCCTTTCCTTTCCCTTCTTGAACCCTCTCTGCACTTTAAAAATAAGGAAACATATGCATGAAAATATTTACTTTTGAATCTCCTCTGCAGATATCCAATCCACCTAAAAGATAAGGGAACGATAATATCAAAATTCTATTTTAAACAGCAAGGGCATTTTTGAAAATTAAAGATGACATAGCCACATACCTTTTCAGCCGGTGCCCTAAATATAAATGTAGCCTTCTGAAGTAGCAGAGGGTGCCCACCAGAAATGAAACTGCCAGTGTCACTGACCCCTTTCCTACTCTCCACGCGGTATCTAAGGCTTGGCTGGTGACGAGTGTCCAGGAGTGCACTTGGTCATTTCCTACAAAAATTTAATAATAATAACACTGTATAGCATGGGGAACTATATTTAATATACTTGATAAACCATAATGGAAAAGAATATAAAAAGGAATGTATATATGTGTCTGAGTCACTTTGCTGTACAGCAGAAATTAACATTGTAAATCAACTATACTTCAATAAAAAGTAAAATAAAAAATAAAAAAAAAGACAGTATGGTACTGGCACAAAAACAGAAAGATAGATCAATGGAACAGGATAGAAAGCCCAGAGATAAACCCACACACATATGGTCACCTTATCTTTGATAAAGGAGGCAGGAATGTACAGTGGAGAAACGGCAGCCTCTTCAATAAATGGTGCTGGGGAAACTGGACAGGTACATGTAAAAGTATGAGATTAGATCACTCCCTAACACCATACACAAAAATAAGCTCAAAATGGATTAAAGACCTAAATGTAAGGCCAGAAACTTTCAAACTCTTAGAGGAAAACCTAGGCAGAACACTCTATGACATAAATTACAGCAAGATCCTTTTTGACCCACCCCCTAGAGAAATGGAAAAAAAACAAAAATAAACAAATGGGACCTAATGAAACTAAAGCTTTTGCACAGCAAAGGAAACCATAAACAAGACCAAAAGACAACCCTCAGAATGAGAGAAAATATTTGCAAATGAAGCAACTGACAAAGGATTAATCTAATATTTATAAGCAGCTCATTCAACTCAATAACATAAAACCAAACAACCTAATCCAAGAATGGGCAGAAGATCTAAATAGACGTTTCTCCAAAGAAGATATACAGACTGCCAACAAACCCATGAAGGAATGCTCAACAGCATTAATCATTAGAGAAATGCAAATCAAAACTACAATGAGATATCCTCTCACACCATTCAGAATGGCCATCATCAAAAAAATCTAGAAACAATAAATGCTGGAGAGGGTGTGGAGAAAAGGGAACCCTCTTGCACTGCTGGTGGGAATGTAAATTGATACAGCCACTGTGGAGAACAGTATAGAGGTTCCTTACAAAGTACAAATAGAACTACCATATGACCCAGCAATCCCACTACTGGAGAATGGACTTGAGGATATGGGAGGGGGAAGAGTCAGCCATGACAAAGCGAGAGAGAGGCATATGTACGGTTTTGTCAGGGTACTGGCATATACACAACCAACTGGTGAATATAGTAAAAAAGAAGCAGACTCACAAACTAGTGGTTTTCAGTGGGGAAGGGGGATGGGCAATATAGGAGTGGGGGAGTGGGAGGAACAAACTTGTTGGTGTAAGATAAGCTCAAGAATGTGTTGTACAACATGGGGAATATAGTCAATATTTTGTAATAACTGTAAATGAAGTGTAACCTTTAAAAATTGTATAAAACTAAAAAAAATTTTTTTAAACACAAAGAAATAAAAATGAAAAACTGGATTCAGGCAGAACAAGAATTAATAACATGGGATATCTTGAACTGATGAGGATGATTATCATTTTTAATGACTTTTTATTTGAAACATTGCTGGTTCTTTAAAGTTTTGGTTTTCCACATTTAAGGAAAACATTTTTATCTTTTTTCTAAGCTATATATAACTTAGAGATATTTGGTAAGGTATACCTTTGTAAACAGAATTGAGACATTTACTTTTCCCCCCTACCTTATGCCTCCAGAATTTGGATTATCTTTGGTAGAAATGGGTGTTACTGTAGAAAGAAAAGTTATGTTTCAATGGAAAACTATAGCACACTCTTGTGGATATTAATTTCTAGTCCTGTTCATTGTCTTTGAGGTTTTGTTATCTACCTGTAAACTGGACTGGATACTAAATTTTTCTTATTTCCTCAAATATCTGTTTAGGACTCTTCAGACTAATGTTTCCAATTTTTCCCCAACCTTCTGTCTTGGAATCATTAAGGATGAAGACTCTCCTTGAAACTTGCTATTATACACAGGGCCATATGAGGTCATCCTCACTATCCAGAGGGCAGCCAAACTTTAAGGCTTTGAACCTCAGGACCACATGTCCCAATTTAAAAAGGCTCCTCCAGACTCTTGCAACTGCACACCAGCTGGAGACCTAAAATTAAAATTGACCAGAGAGCTTCCTCCCCAGAAGCAGACAACATCTTGTGGTGGACAAGATCTCCCAAGATTACAGATCAATATCTTCATCTAGTTGAAAACTTTATTCCTTTTGCCTTTTTGCTACTTTATTTTTCCTTTCTGTTAATGCTTGGGAAGATAATATATATTAATTCTGGCAACTCTATTACTGAATCTACCACTAAGGTCATAGATGCACAGAAAAAATTCCCAGGCTTTCTTGCTCAGAAGGTTTTAGATAATAAAATTGCTTTAGATTACTTATTAGCTGAACAAGCAGGAGTCTGTGCCATAGTAAATACCTCCCACTGTACCTGAATCAACAGCTATGGTATGACAACAAATATAAGAAGTTAGCAAACAAGACACTTGACTAAAACAGGTTACTTCCTCTTCAGGTATATTCTTTATTTGATACAAATTTGTTTGGTCCATGGGGTCCCTGACTAAGGATCATATTTCAGTCTCTTGATTTTTTTCCTCCTTATAGTTATCACTGTAGTCTCCCTGGAGTGCTATGTTCTTTCAAGTGTATTAAATATATATTTGCAGCCATCACCAGTACATCAGATGGTCTCACTGCACTTGGAGAAACAGAAGCAAGATGAGCAGCAAAAACAATTATGAGGCAAGAACAACTTAACCCTGATGGTGACTGAGAGTAGTGCTAATACCAAATATTTGGTCAATCTGTCATGTCTGATAGGGTGACCAAAACAGAGAAATTGTTAAATTAGTTAAATAAGAAAGCCATTAAACAGAGATGGATTGAATGCCTTAGGCGTCTGTGTAAACAAACCAAAACCTAAGCCTGTAATGTCTCAAGGTTAACAAATTAAAACCTAAGGACAACCCATCACAAACAGTTAAGTAATGCAACTGCTTAAACTATAGCCAAGTAAATAATGGGTTTTCTTCTTTGCATCTGCCTGCCTTTTCTCTATAAAGTCTTTCCTTTAGCTCCTGTTCGTGAAACACTCCTAACCATTTTCAGTTTGGCACTGTCTGATTCCAAATGATTTTTGTTCAAATAAACTCAAAGTTTGTAATATGCCTCAGGTTATCTTTTAATACTTCCATGCTTTAAACCCTCCAATCCTTCCCATGGTGATTAGAGTAAAATATGAACTTCTCACCTATATTATGGCTCCTGCCTACCTCTCCAGTTTTATTTTCTATGACTCTTCCTTCCATGCACTTTGCTCTAATAACATTGTCCTCCTTATATCTCTTGGATATTTCAAGCTCTCTCCTGTCTCAGGGCCTTTGCAGGCTGTTTCTTCCACCTGAAGTGTTTTTGCCGAGAATTTTGCATGGTTGGCAACTTTGCTCTATTCAGGTCTCAGCTCAGATGTTACCTCCTGTGGTAGTCAGTGTCCAAAGATGACTCCCCAAGGAATCACACTGCTTCATTTTTCGTATTCTTGTATAGCTTATCTCTTTAAATTTGGGATGGTCCTGTACCTCCCTTGTAACTAATAGAATGTGACAGAAGTGATGCTGTATAACTTCTGAGGTTACATCAGAAGAATATTTGTAGCAAGGGCCTGGAATAGTGCTTTGCACAGAGTAGGTCCTCAGTTTCTGTTGGACTAATGAGTTGCCTCACCGGTCTATTAGAATGCTTATTCTGGGTGGAGCTAACCACCATGTAAGATGTATGATTACCCTAAGATCACCATGCTATGAAGAAGCCCGTGTTAGCCATGTGGAGAAGTCACATGAAGAGAGACATGCCAAGCCAGTGTTTCTAGCCATCCCATTTTGGATCCTTCTAGTTTGTCTATGGCCCCAGATTAAACACCATCCATGTGAGGAAAGAAGCCATCCTGGACATTTTATTTTCTTCATAGTATTTATCACCATCAAAACTACCCTTGTTTATACACTAGTTTACAGTTCTATTGTATATTTTGTCCCACTAGTATGTAAGGTCCATGAGAACAAAAGGCCTTGTTCACTATTATATTTCCAGCAGCTAAATCATGCATCTCAGACTTTGTGTGTAAAAGTTACCTGGGGAATCTTGTTTAAATTTAGATTCTGATTCAGAAGGTCTGAAATGGGGCCTGAAATTCAGAATTTCTAACAGGCTCCCAGGTGATGCAGATACTGTTCATCCACAGACCATGCATTGAATAGCAAGATGATAGAGATCTCTAGGTAGAAGTGAAAGAATTTGAGATCCACCTGAAAGAGCTTGTGCCCTTCTCTGTGGACCTCTGGCTTTCTAGCTTCTCTTGAAAAATCAGGTTTAGCATCCCTAGGCTGGCATTTCCACCTTGCAACAATCAACTGGAGCTGGGTGCACCTGCTGTTTTCTAGGGACATAGCACCTGCCTAGTAGCTCCTGCTTAGCTCCAGCAAACATCTGAACCATGATTTCTACTCTTCAGGGCTCTCTGACCTTCATTTTTATTCTAACTCCATGGTTCCAGGACACCAAAACCAAAATGTCTACTCCTTCAAACAGGTGTTTTCTCTAGGAATGATCATGTCTATATTCGAGGAATGTGGTCTGTTTAGATCAGTGCTTCTCAAACTTTAATGTCTATTGATATTTTTGTTAAAATGAAGATTCTGATTAAGCGGTGGGACTGGTATTCTGTGATGTCAATACTGTCGATATGGACGACACTTTGAGGAGCAAGGACCTGGAACAATTACTGCCGCATAGTAGGACCTCAGTATTTGTTAGATCAATTAATTTGTTTCATATAATAACCCTATTATAATAGCATTATCTCAATTTTATAGACAAGGTAACTGAGACTCACAAAATTGAGTGACTCATCTAATGTTACACAATTAGTATGGAACAGAGTCTACACTTAAATTGATCCATCTGATAGTAAGCCAACCTCTGATTTTCTAAAATCTCAGCCTGGATAACCCTTGGATAGGTTTATAATTGGGCATAGTATGATTTTTATAGGCAGCAAGTGGACCATCAAATTCTCAAGGCCTTCTCACCTGCCTAGAATTCCTTATATAGACTACGAAATCTTGAACCCCA